GGCAGTACGGGCCTCAGGAGCCCTGTGAGGGAATGGAAGAGGGTAGTAACCAGGGCCAGGAACAACTCCCCATCGAAAACCCCCACATCGATTACCCGGGCAATTCTCGTATTTTTGAGGTTAGTGGTATTCAAAAATTATAAATACAAAAAATAAGTGGACCCTTTCTACTTCATTTGATTCCTGTTCATTTGATTTGATTTGTTTTTATAATGTTTGTACGTGTTTCAGTGGTTGGTTGAAAGTCGATTGGCAGAAGGCCTTTGCGATCTTCTTGTTCCAGAAAAGTCAGCTGTGGTACGTTATCGTGCACCACTTTGCGGCTATTTTTTATGGTTTTTTTTGCATCTATGCAATGCAAAAATGCATATTGTCGAAGGGTTGTCTGTATGTGTGTATCGATTTTTCATCTCCAGACCTAGAAAAGGTGCAGGGCTGAAACTTTGGGAACTTGATCTACATTCAAGTACGGACCCCATTCCTCAAAATGAGCGCTCTTACCCAGGTGCTTTCCCGAACGGACCGGTGAAATCTTCTGACGGGGTAAGTTGCTAACTTAGGAATCTGAAAAGCTAGAAAGCTGAAATTTCAAGGGGATGTTCCCCACCCTCGTACGTCTTAATGAGTTCCAACCCAACCACCAGGCATGCGTGATTTCTCCGTACAAGTTCGTGAAGTTTTTTTACGGGCAAGTTGCTAACTCGGGAAACAGTAAAGCTAGAATGCTAAATTTTTCAGGCGATGTTTCCTGACAGTCCTAGCGGCCAGTCTCAATTCTTTTAGCCAGAAGCATCTACCGGAAAAATCAGTGTCGTTAGCGACAAAAGCCTGCGGGGAACTATGCAAAATACGCATTTTAGCAATGAAGAGGCAATGAATTGTGTGTATATTTTCAGGTACACCATAATGTTTGTCATCTGTGGAGTGAGTTGGTTCGCGTGTTACGTGATGTGCAGTACACGTCGGAATGTAAACGTAGCGATCCGTTGATGGACAGTTTGCAATCGGAACGAAATGTGCGTAATTTGATGAGCCGTATGCTACCGGATAACGTGGAACAGTATCGTGATTCTGTGGTCGTAAATGTGGCCGGTATTTTGGTCACTTTACTGGAAACGAATTTCATCCCCAATTGGTCAGCTATATTTTTTCCCGATTTTTATCTTTTATCAGCACACATGCAGTCCTCAGACTGTTAACTTTTTTACCAATCCTCATTTACCCACAACGCAGGCATTCCTATTTGCAGTGATCACTTCTTACCCGCTAAAAAATCTCACGCAGCGTATGTGAGGACCATGTGGATGCAAGCGCAGAATCACGTGGACACTTCGGTGTAGA